GAACAAAAGGTACTCTATTTTCGAAAAAGAAAATTTTTTAAAGTATTTAAAATCTATTTGCATTTATTGTTCGAATAAATTAGCATCAGGAAATAAACCACACTACTTGAAGTTCTTAGCTATTTTATATTTTCAATTGCATACTAGGGTTTAAAGCGGTAAAACTTCATGAAATCTTGACAAAAAAACTTATTGTATTTTTACTCCTTCATTCTGCATTAATAGTATAAAAAAATAATTTGATACGAGCACAAAAAAAAATGTTTTCTTACATGTACGCAAGGGCGACACCAAGTATGTGTGCATAGATGAGGTTTTTTTTAGAAAAAAATTAATGTACGGAAGATTTATTGTCATTACAAATAACGTAATTTTTTTTTTTTTTTTAATTTTGAACGTAAAATGAAGTTGTATTGACTGGTCTCGTTATTGTTGCGGAAAATACTGTGTAAAGGTCGTACTTATGAATTTGTTACGCACTGCTGAGTTTTGTAATTATTTTTAACTCTGAAAATTGCGGTGAAAAGTAAGTCAATGTTTTTTTTTATTTTTTTTTTATTTTTTTTTTTAGGTCACGCAAAAAATAGAGACAAGACAAATTGTGTTAAATTTACCTCACGTAAAATGATGTTTTGTGTTTAGGAGTTCAATAATAAAATTAACAATCTGAACAGGTAGAGATTAAATAATTTGCATTAGTGATTTTAAATTTGATGTGGTACAGAAGAAAAATCAGATTGCATAATCAGTAGATATACTGAAAAAAAATATTGTAAAAATTTAACTCGAAACTAATATCATTTCGTAAATAATATGATTTTTTTAATTATATTATTTTAAAGCATTGAAAAATAAACAATGCCCCTTATTCTATACGAACTTATTCATAGACCAATACAATTCCTTAAACAAAGTCTAATTAATTAATCCTCAAATAATAATGTAAATCCTAGTTTGCCATATACATCCAACGAAAAATCAATACTTGAAGCTGCTACAGTGCTGACGTAAGCAGGACAACCTCGACTTTCTTACACTATATAGCGTAGCTTTTACTTATTCGAAGGTAACACCTATAACAACCTCGAGTATTGTATGGACAATTTCCATACATATGTACGATTTTGGTAAACCTGCAATTAAGCTAGAAATTGAAGTGATCATGTATTGATTTAAAAAAACATAATTTAAAGCTTAAAAAATTAATATCATTCTTAAATTTTACATTAGTTTCAATTTGATGATTGCTAGATAATCTTTGAAAAATTAGAAAATTTTTTATTTAAAAAACTTTTAAATTTGTATTGTACGCTCAGTGTATATAATCACCTCCGTGGTATAGGAAGAAAGTAAAGGTTTTGATGTAACATAGAAAACCAAGAGGCACAAAAAAAACAAAAAAAATACAATACAGTAAAGTAGAATGTGGTAATACATATCAAATGATCAACCTACGTATTGTTAAAATACTATTTTATTTCTCTATTAAACTGTAAATACATATTGTCCATAAAATATATTTTCATTTATTTAGTTAATTTTCATTTGATTCGCAAAAAATATCTGTCTATATCTCTCTTTGTCAAACTTAAAAATTATAACCACCATTTGTTATCACTGTGCACTTTTCGTGCCCAATATACTATTATTTTTTTTGCTTCTGAAACTCTATGCAAACCAAGTACACGGGGGGGGGGGGGTAAAATACAAACCTAGACTAATCCTAAGTTTGTGGACAGCCATCGTAATCGCATATTCTACAATATCACATTGAACAATATAACAAATTGGCGAGTATGAAACCATCGCCTCCCCCTTCCCCCCCCCACATCTAGTAACAACGCGTATGCGTGTATTGCTTTTGTCGCTCTAACAATTACATATTGTACAGTTGGTTGACGTGCACAACAACAACTTTAACAACATTGACTATTCAAATGAAAGTACTGAGGGTGCGTTGCATTGTGCGTCAGTCTGACTCGGCCATGTAGTCGGTGCTCTTCGCCCAGATCTTCAGTGGCTTTTGATTCTTCAAGTAATACATTACCGTAAAAACGTTCATTATCATGAAAATAACGCCCAACACAATGTAGTAACTGCCGTACACCATGAACTGGAAAAATAAAAAAATAAAAAAAACCAAGATGATTTTCTCGTGATTTTGTCGATTCCACAATGTGTGTGCATGTGTGTACAACGTATGCTTACCTGAGATCTTATGTCTAAGTTTAAGCACTGCTCGTCTATGACGATGTATGTCATTATTGACTGGAACAGCAGGGCCATGAACGTGTTTATCCCAAATATCAGGCCATAACTGTCTTCCGACAGATGCTTAGCCACCTCGAAACTGCCGAAATCGAAATGTAAATATGGGATTTAACGAGTTAACAGCCAAGCAAATATTTTTCTTTTTTGTTCGTACCTCGCAATGGTGATTATGGAATGGTATATGATGCCAAAGGCTATGTAAGAGACGTACAAAATCCACATGTTGTAGCTGATGTAGGACACAAGGAGCAAAAAGCCCTCGAAGATCGAAAACACGGACAGTATGGCTTCGCCGACTAGCGGGTAATTGAAGTGCAAATTTCCAACGCCGAACACCACCACGGCACCTGAGCGAAGAAAAATCCTTGGTGGGGAATCGTGAGAGGGGAAAAAAAAAAAAAAAAAGCGCTCGTGTATACCCACTGATTATCGTGTAAATTGCCTCGACGGCACCATTGTAGATGTCCGGGCCGCCAGGATCCCTTTGGTATTCGATGGCGTTTTTCCACAGCAGTTGTACGTAACTGATGACCTGGAGGTAGCCGCAGGTCGCGAAGGCCCACCACAGGGACCACTTGATGACGTGCCTGTTGGTGTAGGCTCGGATGAAGTCCTCCCAGAGCAAGTGGTACGCGTGCCGGAATTTCGCGACGAAAGACGACTCGTCGACGCTGGAGAGCTTCCGGGGCGACGTGGACAGGGTCATGGCGCTCCCTTGGCTATCCAAAGAGGGTGAAAAGTCCGTGGCCATGGGACTCGCCCTGTTGAAGTATATCGACTGGCCCACCGGGGGTAGGAAACAGGCCCATACAGTCGCCACACCGAGAGCTGGAACGCACAGAATAATGATAACGTTTTTTTTTTTTTTTTTTAAGTAAAAAGTTAATTCATTGCGAAATTTAAGGGTTTTTTTTTTGTAATGGCAGTTCAGCCATTTTCAACCTGGTCGGTTTAACATTTCATTCATTATTTTTTCAACAACAACATGTAGATCATTACAATATAATGCGAGGATATCTTTGGTAACTTTTACACCGTAGAAATGATTGAATGAATGAGAAAATTCGAGCAAAGCTGAATGGCGATCATTTTCAAAATAGGGTATATACGTATCTTCAAAGCAATACAGGTCACGTTTCTGATATTTTTATACGTGGAGCCTATATGGTTTATTATACCTTCTTCGTATTTCAATCGTTAAAAAAAAAAAAAGTTGCATTTTATCAACGATTACCAGATATTTCCGAATTTGTTGTCTGTCGAAAACATTAAAATTTGCTGATTTGAATATCGAAATTTTAAACTCAATGGTGATGAGAGAAATTATCATACTACAGATAGAATGTTTAAATAGCTTCAATATAAATGATTAAACTACTGTAAACCAATAAAGTTAATCTTTTCAGGTACAAAACGAAAAATGTGCTCCAAAAGTATGAAACTGCACTATATACGGTTGTAGTATTCGAAATTACGTTCCAATTATTCAGGTATGAAATCGGTCTGATAAATTCGTTTTATCCGTATCACGACTTCAATTATACTTTTGATGTATATTTTTACGGATGAGGTAAAAAAAAACGGTATTTGTATTCCGATTCAAAGTCGAACATCACCACAATGGTAAACGTGAAACATTCAACCCTACGTTACAGACTTGAATACGGATACTTTTTCAAATTTTCGGTACTATTTTTTACAGTCCTTGACAAAATTTTTGCCAGCAAAAACAATGAACTGATAGAAAAAAAAAAAAAAAAAAAAAAAAAAAAAAAAAAAAAAAAAAAAAAAAAAAATAGTCAACGTATCAGAAAAAGTACTGAAATCTTTGATTTCAAATACGTTAGAATATCTAAAATGTATTGGACTTGAAAATTTTCTTAATATCGTAGTAAGAAAATAACGATAAGTAAAAATTTTTTGTCGTTTTCAGCTAAAAACTTTTACTTTTGCACAAACAACCTTTGAATATAGGAAGAAAAAAAAAAAGTATTTGTATGCATTTAAGAACAAACTCACAGCCCATGGAGAGATAATTGAGCTGTTCGTAGTCGAGTAGGTCGAACGAAGTGGTAAGCTGAGCCACGACGCCTGCCGTAAATCGTCCGAGCAAAAAAGCCCCTCTTGTGTGACTCGTGACTTTTTGGTAGCGCTGTTTGTCAACTTTGGCGTAGATGTAGGTGTAATAGGCCACTTCGGTGGACAACATGAGACCGTAGAGAAACTGGACCGCTTGCATGTGACCGATCGTCGTACCGTAGCGGAGAATCGCAAAGGTGGCCGTACCAGACAGGCCGCAGAGTATTATCGCTGGCTTGTACCTCACGAGATCGGTTAGTAAAAAAACAAGGATCAAAGTCGAGAAGTACGAGTAGGTGCCGAGAGGAAATATCTCCTGGTTGACCTGCGGTTTGGTAAAAAAAAGAGAAAAGGTTGTGTGTTCATTTTAACTTGTCGATACAATTTTTTTTTTTTTAATCTAATAAACCCATGTGTGCGCGTGAAACGTTAATTTTATTCGATTCGTTTCCCGCGCAATTTGTGCTTTTTTTTATTGCACCTACTTTTATAATCATATTATTTCCTTACCCTCCAATGGATGACAATTTCAATGACTTTGAGTACTTTTTTTTTTTTTTTTTTTTTTTTTTTTTTTTTTTTTTAATAGGAAAGTAATCCAAATGTATTTCATG